GGATCTGAACCTGAGAACCTGGGCCACCAAAGCGGAGTGTGCCAACCATGTGTCACTATGCCACTGGGCCAGACCCTGGATCACTTTTTTGTTGTGAATTTCTACGGATTTTGACAAATATACAGTGTCTAATATTCACCACTACAGTATCATACAGAATATTTCCACCATCCTAAAAAAGTCCCTATACTTCATCTAGTCAATCCTCTCCACCACCATGAACCTTTGGCAACCACTGATCTGTTTACCTTCCCTATAGTTTCCCTTTTTCCAGAATGCCATATAATTGGAATCAGACAGTACACAGCATTTTCATAGTGTCTTCTTTCATTTAGCAACATGCATTCAGGATTCATTTATGTTAATATGGTATATATTTCTCATCTCTTTACTCTTAACATATCAAAGTCCTTATACTTAAAATGTATATCTTATAGACAACACACAGTTGGGTCTTGGTTTTTTAATTTTTATTGACTGTAAATATCTGTTTTTTAATTTGTATATTTAGACCATTCACATTTAACATGCATATTGATATAGCTGGATTAATATCAACTATGTTTGCAACTATTTTGTAGTTGGTCTTTGCTTCTTATTTTCTCTCTTTTCCTGTCACAGATTTTAATTGAGCATTTTATATTATTGCATTTTATATATTCTCTTATTGTATCAATTCCATAGCTTAAAAAAAACTTTAGTGATTTCTCTAGAGTTTAAAATATATATTAACTAATCTAAATCCACCTTCAAATAACACTTCCAACGTAGGGCAGGGACTTCATAAACAGATTTCTCAATTACTCCCTCCCATCACTTATGACATGGCAGTTGCTCATTTCACTTATGCATATGCTATATCCAATAAATTGATGCTACTGTTACTCTAAACAAAGTTATCTTTAGACCAACCAGGAAGGAAAAATAAAAGATTTTATTTTACCTTCATTTACTTCTTCTCCAACACACTTTCTTTTCTATATAGATGCAGATTTCTGACTATATTATATTCTGCCCGAAAACTTTAAGAATTCTTGCAGGTCATGTCTGCTGACAAAGAATTCATTCAGATTTCGTTTGGCACAGTATTTATTCTCTTCCTCCTTTTAAGTATAGTTTGACAGGATATAGGATTCCAGATTGACCTTTTTCTCTTTTAATACTTTCAGATTTCACTCCACTATCTTTTTGCTTACACAGTTTATGATGATAAATTCACTGTAATTCTTATCCTTGCTCCTTCATGGGTCAAATGTTTTGTTCTCCTGGATTCTTTCAAGATTTTCTCTTTTTCTTTGGTTTTGCGTTTTATAATATGTCCACGTGTTTCTGTTTGTTTGGCGTTTCTGTTTTGGTGGTTGTTATTAAGATTCACTTTACTTTTCACTTTAGAGTCGCCCACGGGCTGGGTTTCGGTCCAGCGGGTGGAGGGTGGGCCCAGCCAGAGCCCTCTGGTGGCGCTGCGCCCTCGGGTGTGTAAGAAGGGGTAAACTGAGGACTTGCCAGAGCAGAGGCCGCTGTGAGGTTCAGAGGGGGCAGAGAGACAGGCAGACACGTGCCGATTGCCGTTCCAAGACAAAGCCCCCTCTCGGGGGACCAAGAAAGCCATGCGGAGGGGCCCTCCTCAGTGAGCGGCAACGGCAGCCCCGAGGCGGCAGGAGGGCCCTCTGGGCTCTGGCTCTCCGGGCTCCCAGCTGCCTCGTCGGCGGAGCAGCGCCGCCCGCCAGGCCCGGCGGAAGGCCAGACGCCTGGAGCCAGCCGGGCCCGCAGGCCTAGAGGGCGCCGCCGGGCGGGGCGGTGGGACGGGACGAACCGCACAGGCGTCTGTCCTCCAGGGCCCCTAGTGCAGACGCAGAGCTGCCGCTGCGGAGCAGAGGGCTGTGTCTGGAGACCGCGGCGCCTCCACCGAGCTCCAAACTCGCCCCAACCCACAGGCGCCGCTTCCTGCGGCCAGATGTCGCGAGATCTGGGACTTCCGGCTCGCCTGGCCCGAGCCCTTCGGAAGAGAGAAAGTGGGCAACCCTGATGGTCAGGGACTCCCGGGGCTCCTTATTGCAGGCTGCAGCAGGGCCACGTGGAGTCTGGCGCTCACACCCTCTCAGGGTTTGAGGAAGGATTTTCGTGACGGGGTCATAAAGCTCTATGTTGAAAACTATGTTTTCCATATGTTGAAAAATAGCTTAAATGACATTCTATATAGCATCTCCATGAGTTATTTTCTTCATAGAAAGGAAAGCAGAACTATGTCTGAGTACTCATTTTCGATAATATTCCTAAGGATATTTTCTTTGCTGGAACATGTCTATAACTGCTCTTGTCTTTGACAAATGCAGGCCCAGTTCAGGGACACTTTACATCTAGTGTGAAAACAGGTGCTAATGCCTTCACAATGGCTCATCAACCGTCTGGAACCCCCAAAGATTTCTTTCTCTGGATACTTCATTGAATAAAGTTTATTAAACCTGGTAAACTTGCCTGTCTCTAGAGTGCTTTTATAAGGTGCTTGAAAAATTCTTTGATTGCATTTTTAAACTGATTTGAAGAATAAAGAAAAACAAGCTAGTAAGAAATGAAAATCAATCAAACTACTTTGAGGGCAAGTTGGAAATAGGAGCCGCATATAATGAGAACAAAACTTGAGCCCTATTGACCAAAAGGATTAAAAGCACAATTGCAGGTCAGGAAATAATTATTTTGTGATTGCCACGGTTTAAGGGTTTTTTAATGATTACTAATTTAATCAAAGACATAAGAATCAACAAATCAAAATCAAACAACTTGCAATATATAAAGTTTTCATAATCCATTAGTGAAAAATTTACACACACATAAACACACACACATTTAATGGTTTAGAAATTATAACCGGTTCAGACTATAAAGAAAAAAATGTCTTCTCTGGTTAGAGAGTATTCTTAATTCTTTGGGGTCCATTTAGAAATATGATCAAATGTGCAAAAAAGAAATGCCAGTAAAATTTATTTGACTGAATTTTATCTTCAGCATGAAGCAGATGTTTAAGTTGCATATTTTCTGCCTTTTTTTTTCTGTGCCAAATGTGTGAGAATGGCTCTTGAGGGAAATCCATTTCCAAAGTGCATTTATTAGGGCTTTACTCAAGTGCAAGGAAAGAAGAGGAAGTGACAAATCAATTTTAATATAATATGCGTTTGAAAGGAATTTTTTCCACCTTGAATAACTATGGGACTAATTTACCAATGCTCTGCCTATTATTGTGCATAGAAAACTCCTGATTGCATATTAAAATAAAACAACAATATTTTTAGGAGCACAACATTCGAAGGCCTAATTTTGGATTGAGAAGCTTATGGATGTCTATGCACAAAGGCAAAATCTGATATGTATGGAGAGAGAGGAATGGACAGAGAAAGAACATACTCACTCATCACTGTGGTTAGGCAAAAAAACTGCTTCAAATACTCTATCTTCAACAAAAACTAGCTAAATTGTATTTGGAAACTGATTTAATCCTATCAACTTTTTCTCCACATATGTAAAATGAGATTATTAATGCTTAGCTTGTACAGTTGAAGTGATGAGTAAATGAAATAAGTGCAGAGCCTTGGCATCTATCTAAAAATAGACCCTCAGTAAATACCATTCCTCCCCTTAATCCTTTCCGTAACTTAAAAATTTAATGACAAGATTTTGTCTACTTCAACTGCTCACCAATATGACCATATCCCATTATCAAACAAAATATCTCTACCTGTATGATTCTCAAAGGCTGTAACTTCCCTCCCTGAACACAAGACTGTCCTTTCTCTCTGTCTTTTATTACCATTAAAATTGTTCTTTGGTTCTTGGTTTTTTAATCATACTTTGCAAACAGGACTAAGCATCAATTAGTGTCAGGCACTGGGCAGGCATTGACAGAAATAAAAGAACTCAGTGCATGAATTAGATGAGCTCACAGTTCATTTAAACATAAGCAAATTAAATATCTTAGAAGGAGACTATAATATAAAAATGTGGGCAATTATATTTTATCTTCCCATTTTTATACCCACAGATACACGTAGAAATATACACGCAAAGCCCACCGATTTCCTAGCAGCTCAAATCTTTCATGTCCTGCCTTCCAAAGCACCTCTCCTTCGGTCCCATTGAAGCATATCACTTCCTGACCTCTCCTCATTTTTCTAGTCAGGTGATTCACCTCGGATTATTCGACTCCTTGTGGCCTTTCACTTTAATGACACTGACTAGAAACGTCAGTTCCCTGGTTCTTCTGAATGAGCCTTGTAGTTCAAGATGGTAATCTTTATACCATATTTCGGATGGGTTGAATTTACTTCCCAGGCGTTATATGCCCATTTTTAAAGATAAGTATTTATTTAACATTTACTAGAAGCAGAATTTATTACAGATACAGGGAATACAAAGATAACAACATAGATTGTTTTACTAGTAACCTTGGACTGACTTAACCTGTCAAAAATTAACTTTTCTTAATTTTAAAATGGGACTAATCATACTTACTTGCTTGGCTTCCATGAAGATTAAAGCAGGGAATGGATGTAAAACATCTGGAATATACACAAATTTGATATTTTTGTTTCTGTTATTTTTAATACTAATTTAGGTATTTCAATTATAGAGGCAGCACAATCATCCTGATATGTATACTAAAAAGAAAACACAATAAGGCTATATTTACCCTCTATTTTAAGTGTTTACTGTCTACCTGCTCATCTACTTTTATCCTATCTCTCAATAAACCATTACAGATATGACCACATATGGTCGAATTATCTAACATTTTAACACTATTGTACATTTTCCAGAAGAACAATTTCTAGGAAGAGAATGTAAAGGTGCCGGAATACTAATGTTCTAGGGGGCTGGCATTTCTCCCAGAAGTGTTACAAATAAACACCTGAACACTTTCTCCTTCAGAACCAGAAGGTTTAAATAGAATTCTATTTAGGTTTTTGAATTGTGACATATGTTAATCCCAATGAGAGTCTCTGCGTGAAAGGAATGTTAGCAGAATTTTAACATGGTATTATGAGGATAATTTGCCACTTTGAGTAAAAATGCTATACATTTTCTGACCTTTGGGAGTTTAAACCTATAGGAAAGAAGTCAACAAACTATAGTTTGATGATCTGAGACCAACCATTATGCATTAAGAGGTGAATAACACCTAACATATTTTTGTAAATCATATTCAGATATAATATTATATATTATTATTATATTATAAAAATTTTATGATAAAATATTTTAATTTACCAGTACTCTTTTTATTCGCAAGTTGTATCAAATAACAAAAATTATTTGCCAATGAATGTGGTTTAAAATGTATTTGAAATTAAAAGTTCTACTAATTTTACAGTCAAGTTTTCTGTATGTTTGTCAAGTGTGTACAATTAGTTTTGATATTTGTTAAACACGTTTTAAATATAGGGAACGATGTAGAGACTTTTTTCCAATGAAAGTTCATCTCTTAGGGCTTCCGTGTTTAACAGTCATGCCCATACTTTTAGGCCCAGAGCCAGAATCAACAAGAAAGACTGAAATTCTGTCCATCTCAGTGGATAGGATGGAGGTGGCTTAAGCTCAGTGCTTCAGTCTTTAAATTAGGTTCCTCTTTCACACAAAAGGGGGAGAGAAAGAAGTAGAGACAAATAAGGAGGAAGGAAGAGGGTGAGAGAGAAAATGGGGAAAGGAGAGAAGGTAGACAAACGGAGAGAAAACCTGGTCAGCTACTTAGAGTGCCTTGCCTTTCCCTGACTGCAGTTTTAAAGAAAGAAACAGACTCAGTTACAAACACTGATCTCTTAAAACTAATGATGACCTGCTGTGTTCAAGACACTGTGCTTGATGTTACTGTTCTTTCTTTCTTAAGAGGAAAGCTCCTGATTTGAGTTGTCATGGAGGAGAATTGGCTACTGAGCATGAGTATGGCACCTCCTCCTGCATTATAGATATAGTCTCAGCCAGACCCATGGTAGTAATTCAAACGATGTCTTGAGATCCCTTCAATATCACTATTATAACTCATCTAAAATTATAAAATAACAAAAAGAAATAATTTTTATAACGTGTGGTTTCCATATTATCAGGAGTGGGAGAGATTAACATACACAGTGGATGTGTAACAATGACGTATGTGACAATTCAAATAAATGTAAGTAAAAGTTTTAACTGGATGCTCTTTGCAAAGTGGATTAGCCTCCATAAGACATGATCATAAGACAGTCATCACTGGTATTACAAATGTGAGTAGTATCAAAAAGTTCATTCTTGAACTTTTGCTACTAATATCTTTTGAATTAGGTACTTTAGGAAGGAAGAGATTATCGTGAGTTGGGGATGATACAATACACTCTTCCAAAATGTGATGTTGTTTAACCTTACAACAATTCTAGGAATTAGCTACAAATATTGTTTCCACTTAATAAATAAGGAAACTGAAGCAGAAAATTTTTAGAGGGTATTTTTTTCTAATGATTATGGGGCACAAGGAATAAAGAATTCTTTTGAAAACATAATCAGATGAAGAAAAAGATCTGAAGTTTAATTGCATATTATTATCATTATTATTATTATTATTATTACGGCTTAAAGATTCTTGCTCTCTTTTTGTTTTGGTGAGGAAGATTGGCCCTGAGCTAATATCTGTTGACAATCTTCCTCTTTTTGCTTGAGGAAGATTGTCACTGAGCTAACTTCTGTGCCAATCTTCCTCTATTTTGTATGTGGGATGCCACCACAGCATGGCTTGATGAGTGATGTGTAGGTCCACACCCAGGATCTGAACCCACAAAACCCAGCTAAGCAAAGTGCACAAACTTAACCACTATACCACCAGTGGGTCCCCTTGCTCTGATTTTTTTTTAATGAGAAGGAGCAATAGGCCCTGCAGATTATTCAGCTCTTGTCTGACAAAGTTCTTCTTTTATAACCCACCCTTGTGATAAATACAGTGCAGGCAAAATGTATCTATGAGCGAAATTGAACTTGTCTACTGAAATTACAAAATAATTTTTAAATGAAATTAAATTTATTCACCTAAGTCACAAAACAAATTCACTGACTTGAGTTGAGATGTAAAGAGGAAAAGTTTTCTCCAAACCAGAGCCACAATACAAAGTAAAGTATATATACCTAGCCATTTTTGCATAAATATATTTGTGAAATATATTGACACATTTGTTTACATATATGTTCCAAATATGCCCAACACATCTCACATTCAAAGTGCCACTTTTTATTTTAGTTTCTAAGTAGTAATATACCTGTTCCAAATCTCATTTTGCTCAATTAGGCAGGAATGAATATGCTCCTGGTAAAAATTGCCCAACTCTAGCCTCAGCAGCTTCCTCACCAGGGTTTATGGGGCATCCAGAGATTTCTGTGTGCTCTCCGAAAGACGAATCCTCCCTTGGTGTCCACCCAGCCCCCTGAGATTGGAGGAATGATCACTGGGAAGGCCACCACTGTGTACGACACCACCGCAAGCTCCCTGCCTGGCCCCTCCAAAGTGTTCTCCAAAAATTTTGATCCAGAAGCCTACTAGGTGAAAGAAAAGAATAGGAATAGAAAATCACAGAAGAGAAACTGTTAATTATTAACACATGAGCAACATTTTTCTTACATTTATTTTCATTTTCTTCACTGATTATTCTCCTTAACCTTTGTAATTTAGTTTTCTTTTTCAGTATGCTTCCCAAATCACTGTATTGAAGGTCACTGAAGATCTTCTGAAGACTAAATCTGACCTTTCTTGAGATCTCTTGATCTTCCTGAAACTTTTAACCTTATGACTATACCTCTGTAATTTTTCTTCTCTGGACATTTGTTGCACAGGATTATCCTACTTTTAGTGAACTGTCCTTTTCTTTCTCTATCCTCTCACTCAGGAATCTGATTGATTTTACCAATTTTACCAATGTCTGTCTATTCTAATTTATTCCATAGCATTATCTCTAGACCTGAACTTTTTCTGAAAGATCAGTCACAAATTGCAAATTCTGATTGGCTTCTGGTGTCAATATGCAAATATGCTAGAGTCGTTTCGCTGGTAACAAATTAAACAAACAAAAAAAGACAAAAGTCATTCTGTGCATGGTGTTTCTGTGTGTGTGTAGTATACATAGCTGGTGAATTTGAGTGAAGGGTATATTGAAGTTCGCTGTGCTATTCTTGAAACATAAAAATTTACCAAAACAAACAAGTATCAATTGAATCTGTACTCCCTTTTCTCACACATCTGTAAGTGATTTTCCATATTTCTCATAATCTGGATTCGAGATTATACTTGTTAAGAGTCAAGGCTCTAACATTAGGTTATTTGTTTCAAATCCTAGTTGTTCCACTTACAACTATTATGACATTTGTTTATCTGTTTAACATCTCTAAATTGTATCCTTCCTGTAAAATAGGGGCAAAATTAGTGTTTATTTTATAGGGTTATTGTGAAGATTAAGAGAGAAGACTCATATAAAATGGTTAATTATAGTAAGAATATAAGCATCAGCTTATACAATTATTAATATTGTCACTATTTGTCCCATGGAAAATCAGTTGCCATGTTTATGGCTCCTACCTCTGCAATACCATTATTCCTTCTCTTGATCTATTCACATTATATGGTTTGACTCTGTGAGTATTATTGCAAAGAGTTTTTCATTACTCCCTGCTGCCAAACCATGTTATTTATAGTTGCTAGATTATTAGGCATGTACTACAATTCAAATTCTGTGTTTTCCTTTGCTGATAAGCCTTTGTTATTTCCCCATTACCTCCAAAATCATGTCAAGGGCTTCAGCTTGGCACTTGAAGCCTTCCAAAATATGGCCCCAATATACCTTATCCTATTACTATCTTCCATTAGTCCCTACAACTATCGGATAGTGCAGTCAGACTACCTGAGACTTTCTGATGAGTCTTGTGCTTTCTTACATCTGACCCATTCTCATGCTGTGCTGACCCCATCTTTGTCTTGACTCCTCTCCCAGTTCCTAACTTCCATGCTTACCATGCCCATCTGCGTCCAGTCAGGGGAGAGAAAAAGAATGTGAAAGATTTTATGGGCCAGATCTGGGGTTGCACATGTCATTTTTGTTCTCATTCCATTGTAAACAACTCAGTCACATGGTTACACTTGACTTCACTGGAATCTAGCACTGTAACCTGGCTCTGTGCCAAGGACGAATAAATAGGTCTTGATCTATACTCTCTGCCACACTACATTCTGGGCACATTTCAAATAGTTTCTCTTCTATGAAGCTCTTCCTATACCTCCCAGGCAGATATCATGTATGGTACATAATACAAAGATGGGAGCACAGCAACAAATTTACACTTCTAAATTTGAAGTTACTTATTACAAGATGTTACTGGTGAAAATTTCGTGCTAAAATTGCTATTAAAGTAGATTGTAAAATAAGATCATGCATTCTCTTTATGGAATCTGTATAGAACAGAATATGTATTCACACCAGATGGTGAAAGGATGAGTTAATTAATCTCCTAAGGTCCCTTATGACCTTCTAATTCTCATGATTTAAATGCTTTTGAAAAGGTATTTCCAAGTGTCATTTTATTTTCTATTGTGGCAATTTACACAACTTGTATCAGGTTTTTAAGCATTCCAAATGTCAACACAAGTGACATTTCCATAGAGTAGATGTTTTAACCAATGTTCAGATTATTTTGCTGAATTAAAGGGAGCTAAATAAAATTGAAGAGCATGCTGTGCCTTTGTCTTATTATGGAGAACTAAATTCTACTGCAATTTAATAATCAAAATCTTATTGCACAGATTTTGAAATTATGCTATGAAAGCCATCTGTATTGCAAACTGAATCAGAAACTGTAGAATATAATGGGCCTTAGCAGACAATGCCGCACTTGGTGTTTTCACTAGCTTCACAGATAGCTTTCTCCAGATGTTGCCAGGCAACAATAGCTCATATCAAGAGATTTCTTGTTCATAAACTCAACCTCATTGGTAATACAATGAGACTCAAGATTGTTACCACCTGTACAGGTGGAATTGCCAGCAAAATAACTTTAGTCATACTCTCAAAGGAAAGAATCAATGCATGGATTTTTATTAAAAAAATATGATTGTGAACTTAGTAGAGAGATCTGCAATCAGAATGAGAGCCAACATATTAGTTATATGCACACTGTCTATCAAGGGACAAAATAAGAGATTTCAAGAAGAATCTTTCAAATTATATAAATACATACATTATACGAATAGGAAATTGATAGGAGACAAATTGATATAGTGGCCTTTGTGAAGAATTATCAGACTTATAGTCACAATTTAATAGTAGTTGATGCTAAAGGATGTATGGTCTGATAGAATTTTGCATTTAAGAAGAGTGCAGTCACGTGAATGTTGGAGTACTTGGAAATGAAATACAATGCAAAATATAGAAAAATGGATGTATTAGTTCTCCATATATTGGGCAGTGGTAGCTGTGAATACATAACTGATATGTTATGGTGGATATTTTTCAAAATATCACATAATAGAATAATCATTTTTTAAAATGATCTCTAGGGCCAGCCCCAATGGCCTAGTGGTTAAGTTCAGTGCTCTCCGCTTTGGTGACCCAGGTTCAGTTCCCAGGTGGGGACCTACACCATTCGTCAGTGGCCATGCTGTGCTAGTGGCTCACACGCTTAAAAAATAGAGGAAGATTGGCATGGGTATTAGCTGAGGGTGAATCTTCCTCAGTATTAAAATGATCTCTAGCAATAATTAAAAATATAAATCTTTCCTATTCTCTCTCTCTGTGTATGTGTGTGTTCTGTTTGCATGAAAATTTGTTCAAAGGAAAACTTTGAATAGTTTGTTTATTTTACATATTTCTAGTTATAAGAAAATGTTACATGTCCTTGTTAGATACAGAACTACAAAAGGAAATAGATCAGCTGAGAGGAGAAAATAGGGATGTTCTTGAGTGTGTGTCAGGAAAACGCAAATATAATGTATTGAGTAAGATTCCAAGTAGAGAAAATTGTTTTTTAAATATTTACCATGACTACCGTGCATTTATAACTTTTAAAATTCCTGATATGTGTAAGCACTTTACACATATTTTATTATTTAGATGCAGGTTTGTTCATATCCTGCCTTTCATCTTTTCATATGCACATAATTTTGAA